CGTACAAGATTACCGACAACCGAGCACCGGTATCGATGTTACAGCTCTCGGAGAACGGAGATCGTTCGTTCGGACGCGTTTGACAAGCTGGAGAAGCAATTCTACGGATTTACGATTCGACAGGGGATGCGACGGTGTTTCGTGCACGAAAACATCGCGATCGAACAAGAGGAGAAGGAGAGAGAGAGAGAGAGAGAGAAATGATGCACTAAATATAAACCGGAGAGGCGATGTAGTTGGCGTGGAGACGTTATCGGGATCATCGGTGGCGAGGCAACGAAAAAGTTCGGCTGTAAGTGTCTCGCTCGACCAGGAACGCTCCTCTTTGATGTCCCTGAATCTGTGGGTGGTAATCTGAGAGCTGCAGCTGCGAATTCTGATCTAAATTAAATTTTAATATCCACCGAGGGCATTTTTATCCCGCCCGCATCGACCTGGGTCCGCGAAACACGCGAATTTTTTAGGATCTTTGGGAAGTTGCAGGGGTAGCGATGTGGGAATTTAATTGACTTAGAGACACCTGACAGGGAGAGATAAACTGTCGAATAACCCACCAAATTTTGAAATTTTTATATCTCTAGAGGAGAAGATAGAAATGACAGTGTTGGGGGTGAAGATTAGTGAAAGTATCTAATTTGAAAAAATGGTAATATTTGTAAAATTTCATCTAACACACCACACAGCATATTTAAATAGTTCTATCTCTAACTGTTCACATATTATTTATGCATATTGCCGTGCGTTGTATTTAAATAAAAAATTCATTTCGGCGCGGTAGAGACGTTACGTAGAATTGGTCCGCCATTCAACGTGTTAAGGAGAATGAATTTGGTAGTGACAATACCGTTAGGGCCCTTATTCATTTTCATAAATGAACCTCGACGGACAGAAATAATTTCAGAAATCCTATTTTAACAACGACTGGAAGAAAATAGCAGTTTCTTGAGATAGCTCGACTGAATATTCCGCCGAATCCGTTATTCGAGGGTTCGAAACAGGAGGGACGAAGGGGCGCGTTAGAAAGCGACAGGCCTTGAAACGCAGGATCGCCGGAATTCGAACGAAATGAAATTATAGTAATTACCAAGGGCATCTTAGCGAAAGCAACGTTTCCTACGCCCCGTCCCTAGACGATTACGTCGCTATTACCGGGTTCGTGCTGACACAATGCTTTATCGGGTGCCCCTGCGGCCTCACGTGAGCCTGAAACTACCTACTAAACACCATTCAGCCAATTTCCCTGCCGATGAATCGGCACAAATTGTCTGGCATTTGCGGAAGAACGTCGTTTCTACGGCGATGTGGGGGTAAGAGATTGTTGGCCTCCGTGAAACATCCACTCCTAAACGCGTCCCCTTTTCTGTTGTTCGCCTAACTCATCCAGGAATTCTATTTGCGGCCCGTTGTTCCCTGCACCAAAGGGAACGTGCCGTCGACTTTAATCCCCGAATCGCAGGGTGAAATGTTCCGATGATCCTATTGGAGTGGGAGAAAAGCTGTATAGGCTACGCTTATTCAATTCTCTGTGATTGTTGGAATTGATCAGGTGTAGCATTTCACGTGAACGAAGCACTTTCGCTGGATTTTTTTGTTCTTGGTGATTGTGATTGTTAATTCTTCGAAAGAGGAGGTAGAAATTCTGATTACTTGTGTAATTGTAGAGTATGATGATGCTTCGATTTTTTTCTTAAGTAAATTACGTGGAAATTAGATTTTCCTCGAGTGCACATATTTGGTTAACTTGATGTCCACCTTATTTTTTTTTTGTTTCTTGAAAATATCGGGGTCACTGATTGCGTTCGAAATTTTTTGTGAACGCTTATGTGTGTCCATCGTCCTCGGGTTTAATATTAGGTAACCGAAAAGTTCGCGAGGTTTCTCCATCGTTAAGTAAATGATAGAAATTTTTTCTGACCCTTTGTTACCTGATATAACAGTGGAACGAATTGCCTCAATATTCGTGAGATATTAATTTTATTAAATAAAAGGATCAAGGCGCAATTTGCACTATTTCGAACGCAGAATTTAACTATTCGTTGATTCTGAATATTTGCAGAGATAATTCTCTGATAATAGGGAAATGAAAAATTAATTTTGACGTGATCTATCGAACCTTCGAATAGAAAAAGAAACACTTGTAACTCACGTAGAAATAATTCCAAAATCCTCGTTAACGATCCTCAGCGACTCCATCAAAAATCACGGTTTCACTCGCGTCAATTAAGCGTCTGCTTGAAGCGTGCTCGAAAGAGACATCGCGAGGACGACGCGACGAATTAAATTACACGGTATGCGCGTAAAAAGAGCTGCGCGACGCTTAAACGCGCGTTTTCAATATTCCTCTAGACAGTCATCCGGCGTATTCGCCAACTTCGGTAGAATTCGTTCCAAACGTCTCTCGCTCGAACCATGTGCTCCAGATCGCGCCAAAATGTCCGATTAGTATCGGCGCGTTCGAGCAAACTCGTACACGATAATCGTCGTGATTACAGCGTGTCAGTTCACGCGTAATATCCTGTCATGGCCTACTAAACGGTTTTACGATCGTCCAGATCGATCAATTCCCGTGTGTACCTAACTACCGGTCAATACTAATTCAGCCGTAAACGAGAAACACGTTGAAACGTGGAAAAAGTATTGTCGATTTCAATGGATCGAGTTCAGAGAGAGAGAGAGAGAAAGACTCGGCGCGAGCATTCGGTTAACGATGCCTTGGATTATCGTCGATCCTCGTGGAGTAAAAAAAAAATCAAGAATAAGCACGTTTCACTCCGATACTCCCGGCTATCTGGCCTTTAATTAAACAGATTAATATGCGTCCAATTCCGGTTATCTCGTTTCGCGAGATGCTTTTTAGCACTCGTTCGGTTTTTCTTTTTTTTTCCTTTGCTCGCCACTTTTAGTGCACCAACAGGCAGATTTTATGAATATTTTCCATCGGAGCGTTGCTCAATTGCTCGTGGCACCGCATGGAAACAACCATTTGGGATCGGATTTCCACTCTGAAAGTGAAACTAATGAAACGGTGGCCGTGCAAACGCTGTGTACACGCTCCTGCTAATCGGAAGCTTTGCTCGCCACCGGGGCGCTTTTTTTTTTCTTATCGTACTCTCGCGGTATCGTGTTCTGCACGCGTCACGAGTCCGTTGAACGACTTGAAAACACGCGAGTATTTAGAAAGTATCATGGCCTGGATAGTGTGTGGATACACGAGTGACGATTGTTCTTGCTCAATGGGAAGTTCTTCGGGAATTTTTCGTAGTGTCGCAGCGTGTGTATCGTGTTCAGCTGCCGATTCTACGATATCCGATTCGTTATTGCCACTCGTGAATCGAGAGCGCTCGGTCAGCCATTTGTGAACCACCTTTGGTCATTCAGAAGTGAGCTTTTACTACGAGATCGGAAATTTGAACTTTTTTCTATCGATTAGAGAAAATATGTCGATTCGTCATTTTTGGTTTGACTTGAGATCGACAGAAATTTCTGTTTAATAACTGTATTTTTGTACGTGGTTTTATTAGAAAATGATTTCGGATGCTGCCTGATCATTTTTCTATTTAATTCGTGTCACCTTAAGGTCACTTTTTATTACGTTAATTTATAATGGGTTAATTACCATTTTTCACAACCCACCCGTGAAAAAGTAGCATTAACACCGATTTATCGTGACTTTAATTATTGGTAAAAATTTCAAACGCGTATTTTTCTCTGTACTAAAAAGAAAAGTGTGAATTAGTGAACAAGTTGAGATTATTCTGAACCACGCGTGCCGATAAATGTGTCAACGCAACACGTGTAAATACTTCATAATCCGTGAAACTTCAAGTCGTAATCAAACTGCATAATACTGATACGATCTGAAGAATTGACGTCATCTATAATAATTTCCACGATATTGCACTGAACAAAATCACTCTTGGAATGACAACGTCGTTTGCGGAAACACGCATTAGATGATGTAAGAATTAATACGTGGAAATATACATAACTTCTTTATCGAACTATTTCCTTTACATCACCTTCCTGAGTAATTCTCTGTCTTCAGCGATAAAGCGCGAGTCAGTTCTAACGAAAGTGTAGTCGGTGGAATCGATACGGTGAAGTGGTAAATTAAAAGCTTACATCAATTGATATCCTGTAATTTTTCATACAAGCGACACGATATTGAGCTCTTAGTTATTGATAAAAATTAATCTGCGATTAACCAAGTAGAGACAATGTCAATTGAAGATTTTCAGCACTGTTTCCTGAAGTGGGTGTAACTCTCCAAGGGAGTTATTTCGAAGGAGAAAAGTAGATCAGTTGACAATACTAATTTCTATTATGTCTTCAAAAAAATATGGCACCTTATTTGAGGCTATCAGCGTAACAGTGGCCTAAACCCAGTTTGTTTTGAAATTATAGCTAATGAAATGATGGACATTTTAAAATATTTTTAGGAACATACACTAATGCTTAAAAGTTCAAAGAATGAATTAGGCGAGAATGAAGAAACTTCGCTCTATCGACTTCGATATGAAATTTTAAACGATACGAGTGGAAATTAACTGAATTACTGAACAGTAGTGTATGTATAATTTATCACATTAATATTTTTTAAAGATTACTTAGGCCACTGTAAACTTCAAATTCTACTGTACAAGCAGTGGTTTAACCTACACTCGACGTAAGAATTTTTGCCTCCAGATATCGTACAATGACAAATTATAAATTAAAAGTGACAATAAACCATTTTCTATGCATCGTTATTACACCGAAACTTAGTATGTTACAACTAATATTACGCCGAAATATCGAAACAAAGGTAAACTACATGGTACTGCTCGAGAGTGACCAAACGAGTACAGACCTAACTGGACTATTGGCACCGCAAAGGGTAAACCGGCTGAAATGTCAATTTACCCAAATTCGTGTCTTAGACACCTTGATTCACAGCTTGACGTATCGGTTCCATCGACTATACCAAGCAACGCTGCAACAAAGTAGTATGAAATACTCACGGAGACGTCGTGGAGGCAGTCGGCGGTGGTGAGCGTGGCGAGGAGCAGCAGGAGGAACAGGAGGGCCGCGTTCGCCCCCAGCAGCCGGGCGATCATGCCCGGTGAATCGAGGCCTGCCAGTGGGGGCAGCGAGCGCAGACAGTTCGACGACGTCGAGGACGTGCTCGACGACGAAGCGGGCCGGTGCTCCTGTCGCGGATGCATCGCTTCATGATCGCAGACGTGCCGCGTGCTCTGCCCTCCGTCGACGCGACGCGTCTCTCTGTCTCTCCTTTCCTCTCCGTTTCCACTGTGTCTCTTCTATCCTCTCTGCCTTCTCTTCCCTTTCGTCTTCTTCCCTTCTACCTCTCTCTCTCTCTCCTCTTCTTCCTTCTCTCCCCCTTTTTACTGGAGAGAGGAGGAGGCGCGCGCGTGATTCTACGTGCGTGAACTCGCGAGTCCGCGCGCGGCTCTATAAATACGGCCGCGACTCCACGCGAAGAATTTCAAACGAGCTCGCGCCGTAAAACACCATGAGTGGAAGAACTCGGCCTCGAGGAGAGGGGCTAAAGTCTCTTCTCTCCCTCGACGACGATCCTCCTGTGGACGACCGGGAGATATAGAACGGGGCGGTTTCAGAGTGTACACTTGAACACCACGTTGCTGCAACTACTCTGCTCTCGTTCGTATTCGAGGAGAGGGGCTAAAGTCTCTTCTCTCCCTCGACGACGATCCTCCTGTGGACGACCGGGAGGTATAGAACGGGGCGGTTTCAGAGTGTACACTTGAACACCACGTTGCTGCAACTACTCTGCTCTCGTTCGTACGGAACTCTGAAAGCATCGATAAGGCATCTGGCGATAAAGGATAAGGCGATAAAGCATCTCGTTTCTCCAGGTGAACCCTTTGCCTCGCTGGCTAATTTCGCGTAACTGTAACAAGTAGACGGTTGGAGGATTTAAGCTCGTAGAGTTTATGCTAGGTGGTTGGATAGAGAAGAAGGAGTTGAGTTGGGAATTCGATATTCCTAGTAGGAGCTGGTTATTAGCTTTGCAACAAGAGTACTATCAGGTTCTTGCGCGTCGATTAAAGCAGAGGAAGTTGTTACTCGTTTGTCTTGGTCATGTTTTATGCACAATCAGTTTCTAGGCTTCTCGACGGCTGTGCCAATGAATAACGGGCTCGCAAAGTGTTCGTGACAATTGGTCAGCGGGACACGATGTAGTTTGTCTGTCTTTTGTAGAGAATTAACGCTTTGTACTGTGCGATTTACTTTTAGACGTGCTTGTTTAGTCTAATTGGTTAATCTTATCGCAACTCTACGTGCCACACTGATAGAGAAGGATAGAGGAGTCTGTGTTTCGAGTGAATCCTATAGTCTCTATAAATACACCAACCCTTTCGCGACCAAATTATTTTCTTTAAGAATTTATGCGTCTGTAATCCTAATTTTAGATCAATTTCGGCTCGGGCGTGCGTCCTGTTAGTCACGAAAGGGTTGAATAGCGTTCGAACTTAAATTTATCCTGTGGAACACACGTGGAGCACTTTTACGTGCCTCAATTTTTCCTCAAGCACACGTCCTATTAGTCACGAAAGGGTTGAATAGCGTTCGAACTTAAATTTCTCCCACAGAAACCAGGAACAAATACTCCCAAAAGTCACAATCCCCTCGTCCATTGAGAATTCCACTGTCAACAAGTGCGAGGGGATAATTCATTCTACCCGAACGGCGATTCCGTTCGTGAACTTTAACGGTAGAAAGAATCGGCGAGTCACTGGATCGATGGGTCTCGAGCGGAAGTTACTCGAGTGTGTAGGATTACAGTAGGAGGATCCCGCGAGAAGGAGTGTACGTGTGGGATACAGGTGACGAGGCACGTTCCCTGGCAAAAAGGCACACCAGGATATTGCGAGGCTCCGCGCAAAGCAGCGGTGTATACGCGTTACGATTCTTTATGTAACAAGAAAGTGGATACGATTCACGGCTAGCGTGTCTCTCCTGTTTCATCGAGAATCGGAGAATCGATCTGTTCTGGTCACGACAACTAGTCTCTCTTATCAAATTCGATTATTCAACGCTCTCTCAGCGGAACGCTACACTACATTCCAGTATTTTCATAACAAATACTCACCTCGTGTATCACGCTCATCCTACGAAGATCCGGAAGATGAAACGATTCGAAGTTTCACTAAATTCAAATTTCGCGCCAAAATCGTCGTTCACTTAAATCTCCGATATTCAACGTAGAAATTTGATTTTCGTCTTGAAATTACGATTGAACGATAAGAAACGACACGAATGTTCACGCGACAAGAAGATTCTTCGGGGAAGCTTGCACTTGGACTAACGAAACGTCCGCGAGTGTCTGAGCGGGATTAGAGGCGAGACTCACGGGCATGGAACGATCCGTTCTCCAGCCGGTAAAATTGTTCAAGTTGAAGTACAGCGAGCCAGCGGCGTGCCAGCCACTGATATTTTTAGTCCTCGCTGCCTCCACCATCTGTCTTCGAGTTTGGGTTTCCTGGTCGTTTTAGACACACCGTCGAGACGGCGAGGCGAGGTTCTTCCTAGCGCAGACGGGGGAGATCGGTGTGTATCGCTTTGCAGAGGGCACTTCACGCTCTCCAGTCGTGCACCATAACTCTTTCAGATGTAACCGTGGCACACGAGGGTAGCTAGGCTTCTTTGACTCGTTGACAACTGCTTGGAAGAAAAAGAATCGTCTCGCTGTCTTCGGTCTACAGTAGTCTATATATTTTTGTTCTTCTCTAAGCTCCTTTTTTTTTCGGTACACTCAGAAGCTTTTAACCTGTGTGGTATTCCCTTGTTCCTCGAGTGGTGAACCAGTGTCCATTAATTAGCAGGAAGTGCAACGTGGATCGTGAAGAAGTTAGACGAGGACTGGTGGTGCCAGAGCTTCTCGAGCACACGCACGTGGCTCCAGGCCGACTGACGAGATACACGCGCGAGGAAGTATCAACAGAGGCTGAGAGGAGTGGCTACCGAGCGAAGCGGAAGTGGAGGGTGATTCTGCGGCGGTCGCGGTGGTGGGGTGCACACCGATAGGGGGTATTCTCCGTGGATCCTTCGCCGATTCGACGAAGAGGGACCATTGTGGTCGAAGATGGGATTACGCTCGCTGGGGTTACCGTTCATCTTTATGCTTCAGTGACGATGATGATAGACAGAGAGGGGTTTTTTCTTCTTTTTTTTTTTTTTTTTAATGAGGAACAATCATCGACGATCGAGGCTGACGTTTTAAGTAGGAGTGTCTGAGGAGAACGAGCTGTTTCACTGTGAGATGCGAAGAGTGTACTTGCTCTTGGAAGGTAACACGATGGATTTGATGGAATATTCTGTCGAGCTGTTGTTTCTGGAAAGACTGAAATTTTTTATTTTTTTTTTTTGGGTGTTTTGAAATAATTTGAGCTCCTCGTGTTTTTTGGTTTTTAAGCAAAGTTTGACTGTCCTCTGTGCTTTCTGGGGTTTTAGAATTCTGGATTCTTTGGATTTTTTTAGTTCTTCTAGATTCAGGATTTTTAATTTGTTTATCCTGACTGTTTTTATTTGTTTTTAGCTCATTTTTCTTGGATTTTGAAAAATGTTAGGTAGGACAGTTAAGCTAAGGGGAAAAATATTTCGCATTTTATGATGTGTTTGGGGTACTTGGTAGGAATTTAGTGAGAGTTGCACATATCGAGTTTAAGAACAAGATTTTCCTAGAATTGTTGTACCATGAACGTCCACAGTTTCTGCAATTTGATGTTTATTTAATTAGAATACAGTCAATAATGCGTTATCTTGAGTATCCAAAGACCGTCTGGATCCTGATCTCGTTGGCAAGTTCTTTAATCTACAGCTTCTTTTAAAATTTCATATATCGTATCGCCGTTTCTTACATAAAACAAACAGGAAGCCTATTTTTTTACTTACTGTTAAAGTAGGTCTGCTGAAATTATCGCATAGAACTATTGCAACTTTCTGCCCAATAAATACCCAGTACGTAACTTCCAAGTCACATGGCGTAATATAGGGTTAACATTATTCCTCTATGTAACATTGTTACGGTGTTAAGGTACGTTTTCACGTGACATTAAAACTCATGGCTTTTGTTCTCGTGTCACTGAGACACTCTGGGTAATTCAATATCGCGAAATTTAGTCACTCTTCAATATGGCGTCGTGCGAAGTAATTGAGACAGCTGTTATCGGTGAAATTTCTACATTTGGAATGGAGGGAAAATGACAATCGTCGCTTACAAGTCACGACACAAAATGTGTCAATTTTCACTGTCACGAAAGCACCCAACTTGCAGTTTTTCAGACCAGAAGACTCATATTAATTCTCGTCACGAGAGTAAAAGTCACGATTGATTCACTGTCACGTGAAAATGTACCTTTACTCGAGGGATATAGGTCAGTCGTCGTTGGTCACCTCTTATGAAATGACAATAAAAGACACGCTACGAATGTGGAAGCCTTCGTGACGTTACAGCTGAAAATAACCGTAGGATGATTCAGTGACGGTGACAATCTTGAGCAAACTGTCCGGCGGGAAAAATCCCGTTGAACGGTAAACGATCGATAAAACACACGATCATATATATCGGAACGATCGATTGATATTTTATGCTCGAAGGGTGCCAGATTATTCGACCGGTATATGTATATATCTATATATCAATTACACGGGAACAAGGTGGCTGTTAACCCGACCACGGTAATTTAAGGGATCCGGATTCTTCCGGCAGCCGGTCCGGGAAAAGAGAAGATAGGCCAGGGTCGCTGTAGACACGCCCCAAAAACCTCCGGGAAGATTACACGAAATTGCCTGATTTTTCGGGGAGAAAAAAAGTCCACCTCGGGCTGCGGCTCTTGAAACAGCCTGATTTTATAGCAGAAACAAGGACCATTTTCTTGGTCGAGCCTGTCCTTGATACTTCAAACACGAACCACCAACATTCCACCTGAACTTTCTTCGTCGTTTATTTCTCGAAAAGTATCGACACTCGTAATGGGGAGATCCGTAAGAAACTGGCGAGATTACACGTGTGTGTATTAATTTAGTCATTTGCGTTCGATGGTTCTTTTCTCCTCGCGTTTAAGCGAAACCACACCGGTAACTAACCGTCGACGGGAGAAGAGTTCTCGTGGTATCGGGAATTAATTCCCACGCGGAGCAACCGCGGAGACGAGACGGACGCGCGTCCCGATCGTAGTCCCGTGTCCTTTTAAGTTAAAGGGACGGTGAATGCCGGAGGAACCTAAGGGACATCGGTATAAATCAACGTCCGCGGTGGTAGGAGAGGGAGAGAGAGGGCAATAGGTAGACGTGGAACAGACGCAAGCCGCAGACAGGCCACAGAGTCGAGGCTCTCTCCGGCTACTTATGCTAATGCCGGCAAATCAATTTATTTATATTTATTTATAGCATTCAAATGTTTCCACCGGAGCCGGGGCTGCGCCTCGTTCCGTCCGCGGACCACCCGCGAAAGAGAATCGATTCTGTTGCGGGCCACCGGATACGTGTGCTTTAAGGCCGATGCGAAAGTGAGTCGGTTTGAGATGTGGTCGTGAGACGGTGGATAGCTTGGAAGTATTGCACAACGACGAGGAATTGATACGAGAATTTTAAATTTGGAAAATTTGGAAATTAAAAAATTTGAAAATTGAATACTAGTAAATTTAAAAATTGAGAAGTTTGAAGGTTTTTTAAAAATTGGCGATACTATAAATTTTTCGTCATGTTTTTTACGGAGCTGCGCCTTCCTCGGAGCAGAATAATCGAGGTCGTTTTCCGAGAATCTGGATTACGCGTTATCGCTTGGATTAATTATGTATCGTGTGTAATTCAATTAATCAGAATGTTAATCGTTCCTTCGTCGTCCGTTCTTTCGTGACTAGACTCGAAACTATTAAATTCCGGTTGTATATCGTAGAATATCTCACATATCGGGCGCGGTCTTGAGTCGGGATTTATCACGTGACCCGAAGAAAGGCGAACTTGTACGAAGTGTTCAGTAACGTATCGAGAATGGGTCTTTTATTGTCTTTTATATTTATCTATTTTATCTTTGATATTATGGTAATCGTGCTAGCTACCATGAAGAATTTTTCTTAATAAAGATTTATCTACGCGATTACGTTAGCTTTTGAATTTTTTTGCGGGTGATTTTAATTTGGTACAGATTTTCTCTAATTTGAAGTATATTTTAGGTGTTGATGTTTTTAATTTATTGGCTTTAATTCATCGTTGAGCAATTAAAAATTCCAATATTATTCGTGGCGGTAAAATTTTTACAATGTCAGCCCTGATACGATGGCAGTCAGCTTCGTGGCGTGGTCAGTCGTAGGCGTGGGCTGTTGGAGTAATTAATCTTTACGACTTAACGCGAATTTCAAAGTTCTTTCGTTGTTACAACCGACTCTCGAGAGAATGGCCAAGGAAATAATTATTCGCATTTTACTGACAGTACTATTTGTCTTCTGTTGCGTCCACCAAGGTAAATATTACTCTGAAATCCGTCGTTTTCTCTTTGCGTTCTTAACCTTACGATCTGTATAACACTCGAACATTTAAGAACGATTTGTGTTCATTTCTTTGGTACTATTACGTTTACAGTAGTGCAAAATGTAGTTTGTTTTAAGTTTTAACCTATAAACGTTGCAACGAAGAACATTTCATATGGTTAGAATAAATTCGTACAATCAGAAATAGTAAACAGGTGTCGATAATTGTTTCTACATGGTTTTACAGGGTTATCCATTAAATGCTGGGTATGCAGATCTGATTTTGATCCAAAATGTGCAGATCCATTTGACAATACCACTGTGCCTATTACTGATTGTAAACAAGAACCAGATTTGGAACACTTGCCAGGTGTAAGACCTACTATGTGTCGTAAAATTCGTCAAAAAGGTGTGTTACTTGTGAAATTTTACATAACAAGGTAGCTTTTTGCATCATTTCTTATAGGTTGAATTTTATTGTTGTCCTTAGTCAATGGTGTGTGGAGATATTTTCGTAGTTGTGCTTACATGGGAGAACCAGGGATCAGTGGTGACGAACGATTTTGTCTCATGAGGACAGGAACTTATAATATCTTTATGGAATATTGTACTTGCAATAGCAAAGATGGCTGTAATGCAGCATCTTCCAGTCGTGGAAGCTTATTTGCTTGTATCATAGCTTTAGCAGTTTCATTTAGATATGTACTTGTTTACACTTAAGGCAAACTTAACCAAAGATTACAGATAGATTGAATTAGGCAGTATATATTTGAACATATTTTTTTACAAGAGAGAGATATCCGTCCGTACTTACTAATGACATTCTTCTTGACAATCATACAAGATGCAACTTCAGGGAAATAGAATATTCCAGTTGCAAATTAGATTGATATTAGAAAGTATTACTCGAAACATTTTTATACCATTGATCAATTTCTTTTGTAAGCTTTTAAACATGCCTCTTTGTGCCTTACTGGGGAGATGATAATCAACATGATATTTTTAAGAAAGTTTTTAGTAATTTTACAATACCGTAAGTTTACCTATTCCAACATTTCTACTGGTATTTTACTTCAGAGTATAGCAACTTTTTATAGAAATATATTTTTACCTATAGACTATAATTTTTGATACGAAACTACGTGCTTGTATCATACTTACTTTTTAATTTAGACATGCTTAGTACAATAGACAGACACTGTACCAACCAAGTGTATCTAATTAACATTAGCAGCTATCATGAATTATAAATAAGACTGTCAAATACCGTCCATTTTAACCATCATGAACTTAGTATTAATATAAAATGATTGTGCTTTTTGTATTTTTGTATGTACTTTCTGGAGGTGTAGTGAAATGCCACAGAATATAAGAGCATAATTCTCGTATACATTTTTTTGTACATGTGTATGATAAGAACAGCGAAATAAAGATATATGGAAAACATTTCGTGTAAGGAGATTAAAATCATCCTCTGTCTCTCCAACAACGTGTGTATTACATATAAAATATATCTCTGTTATACAGATATGTGCGTTAATAACATCGTAAATACAATTGCTTTTTTGGTGTGACTGTTTAAACCTTAAACATTATTTCTCGTAACAAAATACATATACAATGTAATTACAGCGGTATAAATAATTCATTATAAAATACATTACTTCGACGTGCTTCCACTTGTAAGCAAAATATTTGTCACTTCTAGCGTAACTAAAAAAAAAAATGAAAAAAAAGAAACGTCCTACTATGAAATACTAGTTAAAAATCCTACGTACATAAAAAAAAATACTTTTCCCTCGTTTTAATTCGTCTTAACGATACATCGTTGTGTTACTTATTAAAACAAATCAAAGTTATGTCCATATTGTACATCGTCGTTTACTTAACAGCTAGAAATTACTTGGTCACGGTTTCCTCTGGCACGATAATATAGTCTCTTTCTTTCGAGATAACGACGTAAAGAATCGAGAAACTGGAGCTTTAGAATAACGTTTCTATGAATACCGCGTATTTTACACCGGTATAAGGCACTTATTTATTGGACGGTTCTGTCATTCCTCGCAGAAACTTTCGCAATTTCTATGCCGCGGAATCGAGGACGGTTGAACAATATGCAAAATCGATATATACAAACGGATATGTGAAATGCTGTCGTGCAACCTCGTAGAAAAAAAAAAGATACACACGCACAAGTAAACGCAAAGATAGAAAAGGTGAAAAATAAAAAAGAGAAACTGAGCAAAAAGTAGTAAATTTCGCGAAGAAAGAGAGAGAGAGAAACATCTTGGCCTCTTGTTGCATTCGAGGATGTTCGCCTAAGTATTCTTTGGAACGGCTCGCGCTATCGACCGTGCGCTCAAATATTCATAGTATCGAAAGTAGGTTTACGTTGGTTGGAAAACCGCGTAAAAGTTTATCGATCTATCGCGTCTCTCGTTCTCATTCGAACGACTGCCATTTCGTTATCTGCTGTCCTGGTTTTGCCAGAGCCTGCTTCCACTGTTCCCCATAGGATCCTCCTACGTCTGGTCCGATCACAAAATGGCCCACGGTCGTTTTCTTTCCTGTGAAACCATTGCGTTCGTGAAATATTAACCAAACAATCACTAAAATTGTCGTGTTTGTTGTAAGAAAAGTGAAATTAGACATACCCATTTTATTTTTCGAAACGAATTTAATAACGAAGCTGACGTCCTTCAATGCACCCTGATAAGGATTATCCGCGACGACCGCTGCTAGATCCGGCGCGAATTTCATCGACACGCACGGAGCGAAACGGTCGCTCTTCCAGAAATGTGTCACCCTTCCGTTGTCCACCACGGACATCTTGATGTACATCTGCCCTTTCAAGGTCTCGTGCTCGTGCATCGTCTGCAACGAGCATCTCAGACGATGCAGAGACAGTACGAGTTTTTCACTTCCCTCCTCGTTTTTGTCGCTCTTCTCTTGGCACAGTGACAACTCCACCTGCCCTTTCCTGTTCTCCTTCTGTCACAACAATCGAGTGAATTAGACAATCGACATTCGCCGAGATTACACTTGAATTTGTACAATTTTTTTTTATGGAAACTTACCTTTTCGTCGGCTCCCAAAATGCCGCTAGAGATCGGCCGCAGTGGCCTCCACAGATCACCTGTCCATACATCGCTAGGGTGCTTTGGTTTCGCCGGTTTCGAGGTGAAATTCTTCGGATCGAGAGAAATTGTCGTTGCACCAACCGTTCGTCTCTTCTCGTACAATTTCCTCTCGGTGACCGAGGTTTCCGTGACTTTGTCCGTTCCTTTGCCGAAGAACTGACTGAATAACTTGTTCTTCGTCGGTTCCTGATTTTCCGAAGAAGCTCCTTGACCGTCTTTCTTCTTGTTCGCTTTCTTCGCTAATTCTTTAGTCGGAGACAACGCGGTCTTCTCTTTCTCCGCCTCTTTCTTATCAGTCGCTATCAACGGTTTGTCCTCGAGGATCGCGTACAACGTGGCTACGATGAATCTGGACCCGTTGATCTCCTCCTCGATCACCTTCGTCTTGCCGAACTTCTGTTTCGTCTCTTTTCGAAGATGAAACGTGAAATCCTCGTTCCACAGCGGCCACGACTCGTTCTTCGACGTCGTCTCGAACTTCTCCTTTCCCGGTATCAGCTTCACCTGCAACAGAAGCGGCTTACTTTCTTTCCTGCTCGAGGTCTTTTTTTGGACGCTAGGCGATTATCGCGAAGTGAGCGGTAACTAGTTAAAGTAGCCGAGAATGCTTCCATTTAATTCTGCTCGAACCCTTTCACAGAGCAACACGGAGACAAGTACGGGTGCTGTGCTGTGCACGCGATCGTACGTAATTGCTAAAATTAAGCTACGTAGTTCTATGCCGGGCACCGTGAAATTCGAGCAATTTTCGGCGATCAGAAATTTTTCACCGTTACTCTGTGTGTTTCAAGGAAGTGGGCTACCTTGACTGGTTCAAAAAAATCGACTTCTTTTTTACATTTTTGGGTACTGGTACTTCGTCGTATTCTTAGATGGGTTCTTTTTGTACATCAATTTTTATCCCAGTTGCAAATAAATAAATCACTACATTTTCGCGAAACAAGTGAAGATTGTTGTTTGAAATGCTATCATTTTGTCAGAAATTCTACTATCGGGCGATGGACAATTTAGTTTTGTCCAGTAAATCAGGCGAATTTGCTTTCAAGATTCATTCGTTCATTACGAATAAAGTACAATATTCGGCGATCCATTTAAAAAAATTTTAAAAAGAAGCTAAGAAAAATGATTTCTTTCAAAATAGAGTTTTCAAGGTAGCCTAATCCGTGAAAGAATTGACCTACACGAATTATTCGAAACTTATTAACACGAAGAGTCGCGATCGCTTCATCACAGATTCGTTTTCTCTCCGCCAGAAATATTGCATAATTACGCCAGCTGGCACCCTCAAAATATCTTCGCCGGTTTCCTCAAAAGCATTTTCTGCTTCAAATCACCAAGTATATTTCTCGAAAACCGCCAAGTTTACTTACTCTCTCGCGAAATCATCCAGGCAACCCGGTACATTCTCTCCCTGACTCATAAAGCACACAACCACTGATCGAACGCAGAGGCGTGGAAACAATCTGAATTTCCTTTTCGAACCGTCGCAATTAATACGTTTCAAGCGTATCGCGCGCAGATAAGGGGAATCCTCTCGTCTCGCGAATACACGCGCGATCTAACTCATTGTCTTGGACGATTCGTCAGCGAATAAAAAGACGACCGATGTGTAGTGGGCGCAAGAACCTTCGTACGAACATTCCATTACGTAATCCAAGATAATAACGCGAAAGATTACGGCCAGTTGATATCTGGTATGCGGTTGTACCTTGACGACGTAGCTGTTGACGCGAGTGAAGCCAAAATTCTGCGGCAAGTGGCGAGCACCGAGTACGGTCACGTGCAGCGCCTTCTCGTTCATCGAATGAACGATCCTAATGCCCACTTCCGGTTCCAGATTCACCGTGCGATCCAACGGCGTGGACACGCTTTTCAGGCCGGTGTCGATGAAATTCTTGATCTTCGCCAGCGCCATTCTCCTCCACGCGCGATTTCCAATTATTTATCCAACTATCGTAAAAATTCCTCTTCTTATATAGATATATATATATATCGATCGTCTGTGATCGAACGATAAATCATCGACGACGCTCCGATTTGGTAATTACTGCAAAAAACAGAGAAACCAACGTTTATATACTTTAGATTAGTAGTTTCTAGGTAACCTATTAATAAGTAACCAACTATAGTATTACACACAGCTTCGAGAATATAACTCTGACCCGTACGAAACCCCTGCCTAAAATGTCCCTCGAGAGCGTTATCTGTCGTTCGTTTTTAATCGATAAACAGTCACGTATGTACACTTTTTCTTCTCTTTCCACGCGAGACGTGGTGTAAAAGCCGCGTCAGTGTTTACCGCCGTTGCAACGTTCCTTCGCGAGCGATAAACGAGGCGGAAATGGTCGAACCACGATCGAAGACGATGGTTAACGGTAAACATCAAAGAGAGTGCCTCTCTACACTCGATTAGGAAGTTTGAAACTTGAAAGCCCCGTGTGAACAATCCCTCTCTCTCTCTCTCTCTCTCTGTCGTGCCTCGAGAGAACTCGAGCTTGACGACAACAGGTGTGAGAATATACGTATATATATATCAGCTGTTTCGATCGTGATTCCACCGCATGGACGTACCCAGGAGAGGAGGAACGTCGAACTGTCCGTTCGAAGGCGATCTCTGCGAGAGTGCAGCGATGAAACTTTCTCCGAGAGGGGAAAATCTGTCCCGGTCACCGGGCGTTGTCACCTGTCCGTCGCGAGAAAAGCCCGCTTGGAAACAGCGCACGTACCATAATAGCGGCGATTTCTGACCGGCTGCTGCGTCGTGGAAGAGGAGAGACAACACACTGCGGCCGGCTTCTCTTCGAGGAACGTTCACTTGGGTGCGTCCACGGGTAAATATCCTCGGCGAACGAGTCAGACCACCGTCTCCATGACCACTGGCTGTTAGGCGAACGTAAACACGTAAAGAGCTGGTCGAAGGATTGCGTCGCTCTTCTTTCACTGGACATGCACCACGTTGCCACGCGGCTCGATCGTGATCTCCGCGAGTCCTCTGGTGCGCATCGTGAGGCCGGTTCGAATTATAGCGACGTCACCGTCACTATGTGAACCATGGAATTTTTTCGTTTGAAAAATAATGTACGCGTGCGAATTGAAAACAATTACATAGACGTTGCACGACCGTCACACCGAGCCTCGAACGACGCGCTGTCGTGGTATGCGGCTTGCGATCTCGCGTGGGTTCTCTTTATAAGAGGGCGAACCGACTGCACGACAGGGACGGGTTGTTCGGGGGCGCTGAGCGCCGGGCGCCTTGCGAAGTTGAGAGGATTTTTTTTGGGAATGTGAGAGGTTGTAGTTGACGATTTTGAAGTTTCGAATTGTCGTTTGTAATGTCGAGTGATTGGTGGAATGTATAAATGAAATGAAGTGAAGAAGTTTTCGAAGATTTGAATTTTTGAATGAAAAAGGGATTGATAGTGTTTGAGGTTGCCAGTTGAAGTAGGTGAATCGTGTAATACTGAGTGATTGATTGATGCGAGAGCCATTGCTGTTACAATCTTAATGCAAGGAAGTTATGCTACAGCAATCATTTTATTAACTTAAGTAGGTTTGGTTTTAAATAAAAATTTTTCCTCTTTGATTTTGTAAATAAAAATTTTTAAAATAATTTTTACCTTGAGTCCCTGAAATATACAAATGGAAATTCGTAATTTCCTCGTTGAATATTATTTGTAAAATTGTGCACTTCGGTGTATAATATTTTTCAGGATTTCCTACGTGAAGATTTCGTGAAAATATGTATAAAATTTTATATTGTAAATACAAGTATAACGTGTTAAAAAATAAACGTAATTATTGATTATACCCGTAACATGTTTACATGCTTGCCCTCTAGAGTAATATTTCATTTGTGATTCATAGCGTCATGATTCATACCTGCAATTGTTTTGAATCAATAGTACGTAAAGTTTGTGTATTTGGCGTGAGAAAATTTTCTGAGGCGGCGAGGGCACTGGTAATTGTAACTACGCTACTGTCGCAAAAACTGGCCAGTCGTATTGAAGTAGAGGCACTACACTCGTACGCTTCATCGTACGATCTTTATAGACTCTACATACTTGGATCCTGACGCCTGTTGCGCACACAAGGTCGCGCATTCACATGCGTATCAATGTGTGCGTTTGTGCATCTATACGTATACACGTCGTACTCGAGAGTAAATACGACGTTGTGAATGAGAGTGTATGAATTCAGTAGCGTACCGATGTATGTTCCCCTATCCTTCAATAATAGGGTAGTGTTTTTATAAATAAAATTTTTAATACAGCATGTAACAACAAGAGTAAATTTGTAAAGGAGCATGAATGAATTTTCAGCTGTGTATTCAAAAATATTCCTGATTTTTCGATTTATGTTTTCGTATGTTTTTTGTTTGAGTGTATAACCGTTCCATTTGAAATTCGCGACAGTTACGATGAACCAAATACGGCGCAATAGAGCACGTTAGATTTATTTGGACGAGCGTTGATAAAAGAAGCGGGAAGAATAAAGGAGTGAACGATCCAGATTGACGCGTAGTAAATCTAATTGTAATGTGTAACAATATCGGACAAACAACAGAATGGAATGCCGCACGGTGCATTGTGTTGAATAAAAATCATGCGAATACACGTACCAAATGCAACAGCAGATTATTTTTCAATCTAATCTTCGTAGTTTTGTTATTGATTTTTTTGAAGCAATATAAATCTTCCGGTTTCCCGCGTTTCTATAGGTTATATTTTTTTTTAATTTTTCTGTTTTATTTCATAGAATTTTTTTTGTTAAAGTTATTACGTCGTTTAGTTATATCTTACAATGCATTTGTAAACATTGAAAATACCAATTTCATTGTTTACGGTTTAAAAATGCAAAATTGTATCGTTCAGAGAAAAGATTGCTCGCATTCCTCAGAAATTCTAAGACGCATTTGTCAACACGTATTTAAAATGTTACTCCGCGCATAATAAACTACATTGATTGCACGTGATGATATGCAAGGATACGTTTAATAGGCAAATAGACCTTCAGTGTTGAGCAAGTTTCGTTGTCGTGCTTAGATTTATTGGGGAAGAAGATTTACGTTTCCTGCGAGCCTATTTTTGTACGATTCTAGCATTGAATAATATAACAAACAATTATCGTTTGATAAAATTAACAACGTTAACTTGCACAAATTGAAACGATCGATAAAATGCGATATCCTAGGTCTCAACGTTGTCCTCAAGGGATTCCTAGCATTTCCATGTAAGGCGAATGTTTTCCATGCCCGCCGACAGATGGCCGAACGTACTTTGGAAACCCCTTCCAACCCTAATAACGACCCTCCCTCCTTTGAACAGCTGTTCTGCACCGCCATGGCGCACGCGACTTCGTGGAATCAAAAACGCTCTCGATATTTTCGACGTTACCGGTTCGAAACGGTGTTTACGTGCCCTGTGTCACTGCGTTCCGTGTCGTATTTCCGGTCGTAGAACGGTTTTCGTGTAGAATGAGTGCGGGGAAAAAGTGTTCGTGTGTTGTGTCAAAGTGAGAGCTCCAGGTTTTTCCATTCGCGAGATACACCGGTTTAACTGTCACATCTGAGAGGTAAGTGCCTTATTAGCATTTCATATCATCTCTATTTGCATCTAAATATGAATATCTTATGCGTGGGTTAATTAAATTTCTCCACTGTGGTGCACACTGTGACGCACGTCAATTTCAGTTGTATTGGTACGTTATAAGTGGCGTCCATAAACCTATCCTTCGATGGGAATGATGTAATTGCTGTTAAATTTCTATGAACATTTGTTGCAACGAATTTCGTCATATAGTTAATTGATTTTCTTGGTTCGGTGGATTGATAGATTAGATTGGCATGTAATCGTAACTACAAGTGTCACAGTATGATTGTTAGTTTTACTACAGCTTTGGACAAATGTCATTGTCGTCAGTGTCGGAGAAATTGTTCCGAAAATGGTTATTGCGATATGACAGTTATTGAGATCAATTGATTCGAGGAATTAGGGGTAATTAGGGTCGTTTTATGGTTGTTTTATGTCAGTAAAATGATTTTATTGGTACAATCGTCAGGTAAGAAAGTTAATCCTACCCGGAGCGCCTTGTATGACCTCTTATCAAGTATTCCCAGATCCTGCCGCCAGGTGGCAGCACATAACCGTATATTTGAAACAGTAGGCGGTAATTCGTCTCCATTCAAAATGTTATACAAAAACAATACAGCAGATTATAACATAAATTTATTTGACGGATTAAAAACATTCTGTATTTAATCACCGTTTATCTCCTTATCGTTGTATCGAACCTTTCAAAATGACCCTTTGTATAATATTTACACAGGTGTAAGGATTAATCATATTGATATTTGCATTATATCTACGGCATATAGATATTTCAACGCAAACTACTAATTCTAAACAGGTCACTAAAACCGATTAAACACATCTGTTTGCCAATACGTATATCTAAAATACACATACAGGGTGTCTCATTTGTAACGAACGTCTGAATTATTTCCACTGGTATTGAAAATAAAAAAAAAAATGACTAAGAGGAATTTATATGATTCGAGGATGAAAAGAAAACCTCGAAAATCATTTTGAATGCAAGTCATTGCAAGGTCATCGACATTTTTTGTTACTGTTCAGGGTCACATTAAGATGATAATGTCGTATGTCGTTGAACTCGTCTCGACGTCAGCTACAACGTCGAATTATAAAATATAAATGTTAATGTGCGAAAAAATTTCGATGACTTTGGAATGACTTTAAGGAAACTTTGTTTCAAATCGTACAAATTCCTCTCGGCGATTTTCTTTCATTTTTAATATCACCGAAAATAATTTCGACGTTCGTTGTAAATGAGACACCCTGTAGACTTAATCAAATCCACTCTTTCAGAGTTCGCTCTGAAAATATTCAGGACCAATAAAACCGTATCCTATCCCCGTACAACAACGTTCAACCTCTCATTTTATTCTACCGCGAGACAATATAAAAGTATCAAAGAACCAGACGGACGAGGAAAACACCGACAAAACAGCTCTGCAAAAAAATTAGACCGAGACTGGAATCGTTGCTGCGTGATAATAATTTAAACCGCGTTACGACGTCTATCCGGTTTCCCTTCCATTTTATCCGCGGAAAGGAGCGAGGGAACGTCGATGGAGAAAAACTTTCATCCCCTTATACAATTCTCATTACTCGTTCCCGCGTGTATACACCCCTGCACCCGTCGCTTCCACCATTTCGTCTCTCTTTTCTTTTCTCCTTTTTCCACCCTTCCATCTAGCCGTCAGCTTATTTATTCGTTCCTCTATTTATTTCTTCTTCTAATAGCCCGAAGAACTTTAATCACAATCGTATCGCTCCAGCTGTTCGCGCGTCCTCCTCGTTTCACCCTTTGTAATTTAATGAACTTAACGCCCCATTTTCCAGCCTCCGCCGCCGCCGCCTCCGAGCTTCCTTCCACGATGAATTTCTCCCTTTACCGTCCCTTTTCTCCCCTCCTCCCTCACCATTTCTTTCGCCGGCATACGCCTTATTATGGACTCTTTTGTGTAGCGCAATTTAAAAGTTTAGCCAGCTGCGCGTATTAATCCTGGAGGAATAGATACCTCCGTGGGAATCTCTGCAACTATCGGGAAACTTTAAGCGATCGTTTTTCATTCGTCGATGGACAGGCCTGAAAAATGATATAATTAGCCGGGCCACGGGGGAAACACGCGGTCGCTGCGGCCTGATAAGGAACCGCCGATCGTTATTTCGCGAATAGTTAACGAATTTAACGACGAAGCTTCGGGTTTCCTTTTTTGGATTATTTTTTGTCGATTAATTGTCGTAATTGGAGACAGTGTTAATGACGCCACGGGACGAAATTGAAGGGTTTCATACCATAATTAAGTGGAATTTTTCGGAAACTGAGATAAAAAAGAAATACCATAAGATTGTTAGTGTCATGTAATGTTACTATTGCTATTGATATTACAGCAATCTAATTTAATTAAAAATAACAAGATTGCGAGGTTTATTTTCTATGCCTTTAGAAATTAATTATCGTCTCTCTCAACGAACGATAAATGAAACAAATTATAGAATAGAATAAATCTGGATGAAAAATAAAAAAGGTGCAGTATCAGAGTACAAGAAATATTTCCATTTTAATCTCAAGTATTACACACCGCGAGCTGACCCGAAATTTTTGCACGTTACACAGTAGTTGGACAAGCAACCGAAATTTCCGCGAAAATTCTCAACTTCGGACAAATGAAATTTCACGGGAATAATGGACCCGGGGCCCGGAAATATCGCGTCGCCAATTGAATATTCCCAGGAAGCGAATTTCCATCGCGGCGAAACTTCTGCTCGGATATCGCGTTAGAAGTCGTTGCAACTGGGGTTCGAGGGGGCCGGTGTTCCGGATACTTGACTAAAATTATACGGAAAATATGCGGCCAACGGGGAACTAGACTGCACGTCATTCGCCGCGTTTAACGCCCCGCGTGGCCGTTGTTACGGCCTGAAAACCGTTGTTCAGCCTCTCTCTCTCTCCTTTGAGCTACGGGCCACACGGCCCTTCAAGTGCATTAAACCCTGGTGAAAAATGATTTCGTTACACGGCACGTATTATTCAGCCGCGCGGACGTAACGTTATTAGCAATCGCTAATGTTTTGCAACCCGGACGAATTTCAAACACCGAGAACTTTGGCCGAGCGGAACTTCCAAACGAATGTAATTCGCGGGAAAATTAAAAAGAAGAAAGAAAGAAAGAAACGCTCGGTTATTTCGACCCAAGCTAGGTCCGGTGAAAACCCTGGTCTCGTTTTAATTAGGCCAGAGATTGCTCGATATTCCTCTTAAAACGTTCCCTTGAATTTTCTAGTTATATATTGTTAATGCCCGTGATTGTTGCAAAATCAACTTTCGAGCTTGGTTTGTACTTGCACGTGGTGTGCC